GGAATTTGCAGCAGGTTTCTAGGGGTTTTTCTTCGAGTTCAACGACTCCATCTACTAGCTGAACAAAATCCTCTGCGTAGAGTAGTATTTCTACATGTTGGCTCTGTCAATCCCTTTCTCCCTGTCAACATCATTTATAAATAAGGAAAACGACAGTGGTCATGGGATGCAACCTTGCCGTACACCTGTATGCCCTTCAAAAACACAGACTCTCGTGTATAAATTCTTTAAAAATACAAAGCATTTTTTAGAGCGGCGAACTTCTGAAATACACCAAGGCTTTTCTATTAGTAGTATACACAAAAAAGGATTACACTTCCTTCTGCTTAGACGCCGTTTAATTATACTTTAATGTAAAAGTGGAATTCACTGTCAATTAATCCTTTGTTAAGCATGTAGATGATGTACAGGTTAAGCTTACGGAATTTTGGCATGCTGCGTCCTTTAAGAAATATTGCATCTCGTGTTCAGTTCCTATTGCACACCCAATTCATTCCTTGGAATTTGATTATTAGACCAAGTTTTTAGTGGGTGAATTTTTTCTATTATATTGTACTGTGTTGTACCAAATAATTTCCTACTCCAGTATAGCACCACAGTTGGTTGATGCAAACCATTCTTAACTGCTGATTCAGTCCGTTGTGTTTCACTAAGCCTATGTTTGGGTATCGCATTAGAATTTCCTTTTCCTGCTTCTTTTGAGGAATTCTGTTTATCACTTTCCAAATGTTACCAGGCAGTGAATGAATGAATGAATGAATGAAAAAGTACTTTATTAGATAACANTATATATATATGTATGTGTTCATCAAACCTGCAGTTTTTCTTAACCCCTTAACCCCATTTCTTAACAAAACAGAAGGGTAGCCACAACCCTCATCAAATACCATAGAGGTGAATAAATCAGTGACGTCACTTGTCAAACCCCATTGAAAAAATATCAGTGACGTCACTCGTTAAACCCAAGTTCAAAGTTCACTCCATTTGAAAATATTTCATAGGGTGACAACCAGACACCATTTTGTTTGGACAAGGGTTCAATTTGGCGACATGTTTTATTGACTTCATATTTGGGAATAATTTAGCTGATATTTTGTGTACACAGGTGTGAGGCCATGGGTATATTAAAGGGGATCCGACCGGACGTTTCTACAGTAGATTGTCCAACAATGAAGCTACTATTATCTGCAGGAGCTGCGCTTGCCTTCGTCCTTGGCCTATGTGCCGCCGGCTCCCCACCTGCACAACTAAGGTAAGAATTTTAATTATTCTTTTTTAATTTAAATACTTGATGAGTTAGATTAATTGGATTACTTAAATTTAGATTTATATTCTGAATTTAGTAGGTTTTTTTTGTGTGTTTATTATGAAGGTATTATGAAGGCCATTTAAAAGCAGTATGCTGCTTATTTCCATAAGTTTTAAAAGTAGGATCTTTCGGTCTTTTATCTATTGATTACATATGTTGAATTTGTTTTGTTATTTTAGTGTCCACACGGTGAGTTGGAACAGTGGACATGAACGTGCCCCAACGAATCTCGAAGAGTTACTTGGCCTTAACAGCGGAGAAACTCCTGATGTGATCGCAGTCGCCGTCCAGGGATTCGGATTCCAATCGGACAAACCCAAACAGGGCCCAGCTTGCGTGAAAAACTTCCAAGGCCTCCTTACATCAAAAGGATACACCAAGGTAAATTATTCACGATCGATTTATCCGACAAATATTTCATCTTATTGGCACGTTTTAGTTGAAAAACACCATCACAGAGACTATGGGGCTAACCGTCTACTGTCTAACAAAACATCTCGACCAGAATACTTTGAAGAACGAGACCATTATCGTCACTGTAGACGATCAGAAGAAATCAGGCGGAATCGTGACTAGTTTTACCATTTATAATAAAAGATTCTCCTTTACCACATCAAGAATGTCGGACGAAGACGTCACCAGTACGAATACCAAGTATGCCTACGACACCAGGTTAGACTATTCGAAAAAAGATGATCCATCTGACTTCCTATTCTGGATCGGAGATTTGAACGTCAGGGTGGAGACGAATGCCACCCATGCAAAATCCCTCGTCGATCAGAATAATATCGACGGGCTCATGGCTTTCGATCAGTTGAAGAAAGCCAAGGAACAGAAATTGTTCGACGGCTGGACCGAACCGCAGGTCACCTTCAAGCCTACCTACAAGTTCAAGCCTAACACGGATGAGTACGACTTGACCGCCACACCTTCCTGGACAGACAGAGCTCTCTATAAGTCAGGTACTGGCAAAACGATCCAACCCCTCAGCTACAACAGTTTGACCAACTATAAACAAACCGAGCACAGACCCGTATTGGCAAAATTTCGTGTTACATTGTAATATATATTTCATTATATGTACACAGTTATGTGCTGCTTCATCTGCTTGAAATAAAATCTTTTCAAAACGAATATGTTATAATTATTCTACAGCCACGTTCTGACCTGATCGTACTTTAATCTGAATTTTTCTTTAAGTAAAAACAGTTTTATCAAATCAAATACTGACTTGGCTAATATCACTCGATTAGTATTGTGAGAAGCATCGCCAGTTTTACCAGTTTTCGATGGATTACCCTAGGAGGTTTCATGAAAGGGTGCAACCCAAGAACCAATCTAAGCCTACGATACAGGTCATATAAGATGAATTAAAAGAATTATAGATTTTCTGATAGCATTAAAGACCAAAAAGCTTCCTGTAGGAATTCTCGGTTCGTTATGACACGTTTCAAGAGTTGGTTTGCACTTTTTTAAAAATCTTAGTGGAAACCTATACTTTACCATTACAAAATTGTCGTACCATTCCGTTTCCCATTATATTTGGAAATGCCACCTCTTTGAGAAACTATAGTCTTTGATTGATATAGATTTATCCTTCAAATCCCAGGAATTTGCAGCAGGTTTCTAGGGGTTTTTCTTCCAGTTCAACGACTCCATCTACTAGCTGAACACAATCCTCTGCGTAGAGTAGTATTTCTACACGTGTTGGCTCTGTCAATCCCTTTCTCCCTGTCAACATCATTTATAAATAGGGAAAACCACAGTGGTCATGGAATGCAACCTTGTCGTTCCTGTATGCCTTTCAAAAACACAGACTCTCGTGTCCGAATACAAAGCATTTTTTTTTAAAGCGCGGAACTTCTGAAATACACCAAGGCTTTCCGATTTGTAGTATGCACAAAAAAGCATTTCACTTCCTGCTTCTTAGACGCCGTTTAATTATACTTCAATTTAAAAGTGGAATCTACAGTCAATTAATCCTTTTTTAAGCATGCAGATGATGTATAGGTTAGGGAGTTTTGACTACGCCCCATCTCGCGTTCTGTTCCTATTGCACACCCAATTCCTTGGAATTTAAATTATTAGACCAAATTTTTAGTGGTTGAATTTTTTATATGGTTATGTTCTACTATGTTGTACCAAATAATTTCCTACTCCAGTATAGCACCACAGTTGGTTGATGCAAACCATTCTTAACTGCTGATTCAGTCCGTTGGGTTTCACTAAGCCTGGGTTTGGGAATCGCATTAGAATTTCTTTTTGCTACTTCTTTTGAGGAATTCTGTTGTCTATCACTTTCCAAGGTGTTTTGTATTGTTTGTCCCGTGAGTGAGTTCCGCCGTTTTCTCACATTCACCTTTCTTTTTTCATGAGTTCCTCTTGTTAAGAAGAAACCGTTTCTCCTGATGTTTGATTTCATGACCATCTAATTGTCGTAAAACTAATTTAATGCTAAATCTCATATACAACTTGAATGGGTTGAAATTTCAGAATATTTATCTCTTTAGTAAATCTATTTATCAGCCAAAGTATGTAAAAATGAAGATTGTTTTCTCCTATTTTGAAGAAATTGGTTTTTTTATGTTCGACAATAATGATCATGTGTCATCACGAAACGAAGCCCTCCCGGATTCTGTTATTATATTTGATGACATCGCCTGTGATAAACAAAATATGTTTAGATCCTACTTTTTGCTTGGGACGGCATAGTGGTACCGCCTTTTTTTACCTTTGTCAAAGTTACACCAGGGTGCCCAAACAGGATTGACTACATATGAAAAGAATATTTGAAGATCATGTAAACTCGGACATATCATTTAAGGAACTTTCCAATATTTGTCGAAAAATGCTGGGACGATAGCAAGTATGGATTTCTCGTGATCAACAAACATTTGCCATTAAAAAATGGCCGCTACCGCAAAGGTTTTGATACCTTCATACTGTTTTGAAATAGAGAAAATAATTATTAAATCGATAACGATGGAAGAATTCTTATGATTTTTCCTTCTTGAAGGTGGGATAATAGGTCATCTCAAAAAAAACCACAACCAGTTTTTATCCACACGTTTCGGATTTATTTTAATCCTTCCTCAGGTGAGTTAACGCAATGGTTAAAAAAGTGGTCCTCATTAATATTTTATAACAGTTTATTTAAAAAAAAGAGCCAGCGTGGTACTTATTCACACTATGAACAAACGTTTTAATATTTTGAACCTGACTGGACTCTTATCACGATGGAAGAAATAACATTTAGTTTGACACGTAAAATAGCAGAAACTAGAGAGAATATTCGCCAAAAATATAACCCTTTTAAAATATTGAAGGAGGAAAATTATGAATTATTAAAGTTAAAAATAAATTCGTTAGTTTTCGAGGTCCGTTTTACCAATTAATATCTTTCAATTAATTAAGTTTTTAGTTGAGATAAAAAGGTCATTGTCATGAACGGGATTCGAACCCATGACCTTCGCCTAGATACGCTGCTGCTCTACCACTTGAGCTATCGTGACCTCGATCCACTCGGACACTAACTTCCCATCTCAACCCCACTTGTAGTGTGGATGGAGGTCACGATAGCTCGTGCCGAAGGTCGTGGGTTCGAATTCCGCTCATGAAACTGACTTTTTTATCTCAACTAAAAAGCTTAATTAATTGAAAGATATTAATTGGTCAAGCGGATCTTGAAAACTAGTTAAAAATAAAACTAATGCCGTAAAAGAAGCCCGTACTGATCATCCCCCTTATCTAAAACGTGAAGTAGAAGAAGAAGAAGGTACACTTAACATGTCAAAACGATTAGATCTACGGTAAACTTATTACACTCAGTACAATACGATGCTACAAGATAATTGGAACAAACTATTAGCATAATCAGACACCATTGATAATACTAACAATTTTACAAAAACGTTAACAGAAGAAATACCACAAATGATCCACACAGAAATTTAAAAAATATCATAGACACTATTAACAGATCTGTTCATAAACTTTAAAGAGACATACAAATCCACCCAAACTCTACATTAACTCACAAAAAACAAAACATACCAATCAGATCAGTCAAAATTATTAACATGAAATTAAACAGTACATATTAGTTGTCAAAACATACAAGACAACAAAAATGACATCTACTTCTAAAGTAATATAATTCGACAGAACTAACTTACATTCATCAACTACCGAAACATATGAAACACAATCTACGCCAAAACTGTACTGATGAATATGCACAACAAATCTAACATAATATGATGACTGAGCAAAATTATTTTTACTTGACAATTAATTAAGGTTTTTAGTTGAGATGAATAAAAGTTAATGGTACGAGAGGGATTCGAACCCACGACCTTCGGCTAGATACGCCGCTGCTCTACCACCTGAGCTATCGTGAACTCGATCCGCTCGGACATCAACTCCCCTCTCAACCCCACCTTACGAGTTTTCCCTCCTTTTGCCATTTTTCAAATGTCGTGTAATCGGTTTGGATTCTCGACGACAATTGAAATGGCAACGGAGAGCTTTAGTGAAGTGTACTTCATTTTTAAATCATTAATTTACTACTTTCGTGGTCCGCTTGACCAATTACGATAATACGTGACAATTAATTAAGGTTTTTAGTTGAGATGAAAAAAAGTTAATGGCACGAGAGGGATTCGAACACACGACCTTCGGCTAGATACGCCGCTGCTCTACCACTTGAGCTATCGTGACCTCGATCCACTCGGACATCAAAAATGGCAAAAGGAGGGAAAATTCAAAAGGTGGGGTTGAGATGGGAAGTTAGTGTCCGAGCGGATCGAGGTCACGATAGCTCAGGTGGTAGAGCAGCGGCGTATCTAGCCGAAGGTCGTGGGTTCGAATCCCTCTCGTGCCATTAACTTTTTTCATCTCAACTAAAAACCTTAATTAATTGTCACGTATTAATTGGTCAAGCGGACCACGAAAGTAGTGAATTAATTATTTTTACTTGAAAGAGGGGCAAGAATATGTGACCAAATTTCAGCCAAACCCACACAACAATTACTAAAACACTTTAAAGAGAAATGACAAAAGGCAACATTTCCACACATACGGTGATGACATGCCAAAATATACATTAACAACATATTACCAATATAAGTGTCAAAACTGAGCTCATTACTAAAAAATACGAAAAATTACAAAGTAAATCTCAGAACTCACAATAAGACTTTCATATATAAGACCCATTAACATAATACGACATTCGATACACCAAAAATGTGAATTACTGCAAAATGAAATCAAACGTAACATTACACCAATCAACACAGAACAAATCTTTGCTCAAAGAGTAATGGGCATAGATATTACGATAAACCTTTTACCCTGCATAGCCGCAAATATAACAGAAACACAGCCACACCATGACAACAGACAAAAATAACGCCACCCTAATAATAACTAAATCAGCCTACATGAAAATATTTAAAAAACTGTATTCCCACACAATACTCAAAAAATATAAACTAAAACTAAACAAAACAGAAAACTGGTTAGGTTTTTTAATGACTAGCAATTGTGTAAGAATTGGACTGATGATATATCGATTAATTTCTAATTCATTAAATCCTAAAGAATTATCTATGAAAAGAATGTCTATGCCTGTTTAAATTTCTTTTTATAATATCGTATCTATTAACACGCACCTCGGCCCTCACAACCTTATAAAAAACATTTTATTAGATTTCGTGGTCCGCTTGACCAAATAAATTCTTTTCAATTAATTAAGGTTTTGTTTGGGATAAAAAAGTCACTAAGTTCCAATCTCAACCCCCCTTTTGAATTTCCCCTTCTTTTTGCCAGTTGAGATGGGAAGTTAGTGTCCAAGGGGATCGAAGTCACGGTAACTTAAGTGGTAGAGCAGCGGAGCATTTAGCCGAAGGTCGTGGGTTCGAATCCCGCTTGTGACACTGACTTTTTTATCTCAACGAAAACCTTAATTAATTGAAAATAATTTATGTGGTCTAGCGGACCACGAAACTTAATAAAATGTAATAAGCAAAAGTGAAGTATACTTCACAAAAGCTCCCCGTGACCATTTCATTCGTCGCCGAGAATCAAATAGATTACACGACATTCGAAAAATGGCAAAAAGAAAGGAAAAT